CCGAAACTTCGTTCGCTACTCTAACAGACTAACATAGAGATTTAAACTGAGTTAGATGCAAGTTGGGGTCCTCGGTAGAGTTACCTTTGACATGCACTCCCGTATAGCATCTGGATAAAAGCAGGTTGTAGATCGAGGCAGGTTTGCCCGTTTCCCGGTCTACGAATGCAAGAAAGTAGTGAAGTGTGCTTTGGAGCAGTGTAATCTCCAAAAGTAAGCGCTTCATTTCGCTCGACTCCTCTCGGTGGAGCAGCGTTATGCATAGTCGTCAACATTTCTGTTGTCTTCTATTGTTTCCAATCTCCTTCATTGCCTTAGGAGTTGAAGAGTTCTTACTATTTCTGGTTCAAGAGGAAATAGAGTTTGACTTCCATGGCTCCTGGTCATAAATCGAAGGAATCAAAGTTCTGATTCCCGAAAGAAGGGAATCTGATGGTGGTGGAAAGAAAGTAGATGGTGGTGGAAAACTAGAATCTAAACTGGCACCAAGACTGAATCTCAGTCCCCGAAAACGGTGCCAGAAACCTTGATCGTGCCAATCTAGGTAAATAGATGGTCAAGTAATAAAATCTAGACTAAGTCGATTCCGCAAGGTACGGATTCGATGTAGTACCAGGGTCACAGAGACCGAGAGGTGATGGTGTCGATGGTGATCTTAGCGAAGGTCGAGAGCAAAATAGTTGGTTGGTTGGTTGGGAAAAACAATAATTAAAGACATTGTAGGTTCGAGGGTTCATTGATGCTACGTACTATCTAAATAGGTATGGTTGATTTGCAGTCTAAGGTCGATTCAGGAAACTCAGGCCTCTATTCTAGAACGCGTTCGGTCAGGAATCTTCATTCTCTAACTAACGTTTTCCCATCACCATTCGCATCTTTAGGTTTACATTAGACGCATTAACATCCGCTATCATAGTTCCTAGGTCGAATTAAGAATTCCTTATCAAGTCCAACCTATGCGTTTATAATTAATAATTAGACCTATCTTATGAACGAATTCTGTTATTAATTAATCCAAATTCTTTTGCAATTAACTAATTTAAGTTCAATTCTATAGGGTGATCATTCCTAAGAAAGCATTATGTTCAATTCATAAAACCGGATCTAACTTAGACATGCATCAACCATTTAAACACATTGATAATTTCGTAACATGGCTAGATTCTCTAGCCTATAGCAAGTAAACTACTCAACATCATGGAGGAAAGCGAAGTACACATGAATTCATACAACATTTCAATAGAAAAAGGAATAGAAGATATAGTATAGAGAATCAATCATTGAACAATGAAATATAGCAATCTCCACACCAATTCGTCCCCCCAAAATGTCAAGAACCGAAAAATATCGAAAGTATCGAAAAGTACGAAAATGTACGAACTCTCTCTCGGTTTACGTGCGATCTTTTTTATAGAAATCTCGAAATATCGATATTAGAAACCTCAAAATCGATGTTTTCTAATATCAATATTCTCCCAAAGTGTCTCATCTCGATGTTATGAAAGGTCGATATCGAAGTTGAAAAAGGTCGATATCGGTCTTGCTCAGATCTCGAGGCAGGAACGTCTAGGTCGGAAAAGATAGAGTATGTTTCAATGAACATTTAGCAATAAAGGGAAGTAATTTGGTTAATAAATGAGTGAGAAACGATCAAACGAAGTCGGGTCACGAAAGGTGTTTCGCGAGGAAGACGAAGTGCAGGGCCCAGTCCAAACGAACTGAGGTCCTGGTCTGAACAAACGGAGGTCCCAGTTCGAACGGATTGAAGATCCCAGTTTGGATGAACTAACGGTTCGGTCTGGACAGACCAGCAGATGTAGTCTGGACGGACTGACACCTAGTTCGAACGGACTGAGACGGAGTAGACCGAGACAAGACCAAATGAACGAGATGGAGGCCAATAGTAACCTAGACTGAACAGACCAGACAGTAGTCCGACCGGTCCAGAGCTCGAAACCCACTCTTCAGTGAATTTTCGAGTTCCACGCACGGTGAGATGTGCCATCCAACTTTTGAGAGACTCGTGCGTATTTGTTAAGTTGGGTAGCTTGCATGGCGTTAAGCGGTAGATCGGTAAGATCCGAATACCGTGATGCGCGTGATTGTACCAGGGATATACATGTACGATGATTGCCATATCTGCAGCTCACTCGTGCGACGGAGTGAAGCATGATTGTGTTTGTGATATAATCATGTGTGACACGACGACCAACGTCATGGACTTGACCGGCGTGGAGGCGCCCCTAGTCATGCTGACTTGACTAGGACTATGGCTACACCCTGTGGTGGACTCCATATGGTATGATTATACTTTTGTTATGTCATGGACTTGACATCGGTAGTCACGAGACGTGACCAACGCGTGAGGCGCATAGTCGCATGCGATATGATGGCCAATGTCACTCGAGTGATGGGCGGGTGATGCCCTCCTAGTCATGTTGATTTGACTAGGATCTATGGCTAAACCCCATGGTGGACTCCATACGGGTGTGATTGTGAATGATATGAATGTGATGGATGTTGCATGATGATACATATTATTTATTATTTTTTTGCAGTTTGCGAATAATCGTTTAAAAACCGTTCTTGCTCGGAACGAGACTACCGGGTTTCGCGATCCTCTCCCAATATTGTACTATTCCTTTTTTGGCAATTTGCAGCATGTTTATTCAATTATTTATTCCGTAAATATTTAAATATTCAGATCTAGGTTTCGGGGAATTACAATGTAAGCTATGATATTAGCCAACAGAATTTTGCTCAGATTGTAACTGCTCGATGAAGGGTCAAATCTCCATAAAAAAATTTGATCCTTAAGTCTATGAAAAACTCTTGATGTCTAGTTTACTGTGATTTAAACGGAGAAGCATCCCAAACGAAAGTTATGAAAAGAATAGGACACCCTGCTCATTTTGCTTTTCTGAATTTGAAACGTGACTTGCAACTTTCAGCTCTAATTGATACTTTCTCCTTTCGATATCAACTTTTGCAAATCATAATTACAGTGAGTTGGTGATCTTTTACAATTGGAATCACATCATTTATACTTTAGATAACAAAGTTATAGTCACCCAACACAACTCAGCAATCAACAACCCACACAGATAAATCCCATTCAAGGGGAACGGTGACCCAGCGAGGTTGAGGAATCGCTGCCTCTCAGAATTTTACACTCAAAACATATCTTTTTCATTTCATAGATATTCCCTTATATAAGATAGGTTGTTGATCAGGAAATCATCCAACCCTGCATTTTGTAATATTTATATTTAGACCCTTTTACTCTCTGTAGTTTAAAAATAGACTTCAACTTATGTAATTAATAAAAGTCACACTCTTCATCTTCTTGAATGTCTCTTGGTTCCTCAGTTGTTGCTCTCTTCATTCTTTATTTTACTTGTTCTCTTGCTCTTGATATAGACTCGTTTAAACGGGATTACACTAAAATACTATGGAACCAAGTACACTAATGCAAAAATTGCAGAAGAACCAATTGCATTGTAGAACCAAGAGCAGAACATCCTTTGTCGAGGAAGAAATTAAGCACAGTTCGTGCAAAGGGAATCCGTCAACCGGCTAAACTTGAAGGATTATTATGTTACATTCTCTGATGTCATGTACGAAGGGGCATGTAAACATTGGTTTAAGGTATTGTCTTACTACCCCCTTGATGGTAAATTGGTTTAAGGGAAGATTGTCCGATTGGTATAATTACTCCCAAAGAAAAGGGTTAGTGTGAATTTATGGTAGTTTATCTGTTAGATTTGTTTTTTTGATTTCTGACCCAGACAAACACTTTTAATCACTCAAACACATTTGATCAAACACACTTTTCAATAGAGAAGAAAAGACAGTTCTGCATTGAGACAGAACATGAAGACATATTTTCTGAAACTGACGCGTATTTGATTCTGAAAACTTACAACTTAAATAAAAGATCTGCAACATACATAATAACACAACACGTAGCATAACTTCCTAGTAGTTACTAATGAAAACTGAAACAAAGTGGCAAACATAAAAACTGAAATACAACTAAAATATTTGACCAAATCTTAAAACAAACTTTCATTTAATATTCTGCAGTTCCAGCATAGGTCTTGAGTCACTATTTCAACACTCCTTCTCGACTCTAGACCTCTCAGTTTGCACATTTATTTTAGCTCCTTCAACCTCTGTTGGCAGTAGCAATCTTCTCACTGATTTGTCTCTACCGGTTGTGCTTCGGCAATTTGCGGCATTTTGGTTCGACAAAACTTCTCAATATGACCAGGTTTGCTGGAAAAGGGTTTTCTCTCTCCTGCTGGGCGACAGCGGGGGCGAATCACCGAAACCCTAACACACCTTTCCCCCCACCGGCCGGCCACTGCCGGCCGGAAAAAAGTCACCAAATCCAAGCTTCTCTCCACCAGATTACTTGAGAACCATGCGCCGACGACTACGCTCCTCCTTCGCTCCGCCATCGCCGAGTATTCTTGGTCGACCACCACCCAACATCGTCGTTCCGAAATCGCCCCTTCTGACCACCTCCTCCTCCCCCCCCCAAATCCTCCGAGCTGCAGTCGGAGAGTCTACCCCAAAGCTCCCCTGCCTCTGGTACCTACCGGGAGCGAGCAACTCATTTCCCTGAACTCTCTGGTGTAAAAGGACAAGTATCTCTTGATGATCACCGACAAGTTGTCTCCTGTCCTCCAACCCCTAAGGCGACAAATCTCTCTCCAACACCGCATGGGAGATTGGAGATGCAACCCACCTGTACGCAGATGAACACGTCTGTAGCTACGGAAGGTAACAATAATCCGGAACCCCTTATTAACTCGGCACCTAGGAATTGGAGTGAACATTTGTTCCCGGCTTCCCGCAAGATGCAGCGGCGGGGAACACCAGAAACGCATACTACGGGCGTCCCGCTTGTCACAATCCCAGAGGAATCTCTGGAGGAATCAGCAAAGGAATGGGAAGACTATCTCATCGGACAATTTTATTGATTACCCCCGTCGATGGGTCGCGTTATCGGGGCAGTCAATGGCCTATGGGCAAGGAAGGGACCACGCATCAGAGTCCACGATGCCGGAAATGGAACGTTTCTCTTCCGTATACCCAATGCAGAAGCCCGAAACAGGATACTCAGTCGGCGATTCTGGTACATCGGGGCCTGCCCAATGTTCGTGTCCAACTGGAATCCATATCACAACCCAGAAAAACCCCCACTTCGATCGATCTCCACTTGGGTCACCCTACGAAATATCCCCCACATACTCTACAATTCTGACTGCCTGTGTCGAATTGTAACGAGTCTGGGAGATCCTCTGTACATGGACAGGCAAACTGCAACGAAAGAGAATTTGGCAATAGCCAGAATATACACGGAGGTCCAACTCAACCGTCCTGTGCCGAGGAAGGTTACGGTGCGGCTCCCTACAGGAAAAGAATTGTCTGTAGATGTTGCATATGATTGGTTGCCACCTACTTGCTATCATTGTCGTGAAGTTGGTCACAACCACCTTCACTGCCCCACCCATCCTCCAAGTAGCCGCCCAGTCCAATCGGTCACCACTACCATCCCTGACCAGCCGAAAGTCAGTGTTCCTCATACATATGAGAAAGGGCATAATCTGGCCTCCACCTCTCAATCCCCAGATGTTGAAACACCTCAACCTCAAAAGGACATTCGAGGACAAGGCTCTCCTTCTAAGCCTAGTAAAGTTATAGAGGATGCCGCTCAAACTGAGTTTTCTGAACAGTTAGACCCAACTCCCACTCATGGTGAAGCTCAAGCCTCGATAACACCTTTGCTCTTGGCCGACTGCAATGAAACAGTGGGTGCAAGTACGAGATCATATGAGACAGAAGAAACCAAATGGACTCAAAGAAAAGGGAAACAAAGGGGTAAAGGTCGTGGTCACAAGGCCACGAGAGGTAACTAATATCTTAAAGGATTCCCATGATTTTTGCGTGGAATATCCGCGGACTCAATAGTCGGCAAAAACAAATTTTGGTTCGCAAGTGGATACTTGAGCACAAACTTTTGGTAGGAGGCCTACTTGAAACGCACATCCTCGAGAACAATGCAGAAACAGTCCAGTCAGCAATTCCTATAGGCTGGAAGTCCTTTTGCAACTACGGTGATGATCGTCATGGTCGAGTTTGGATTGTCTGGGATCCCTCTATACTCGTCACGGTATATAAGTCCACACAACAATCCATCACCTGTGCCATCCATAATCCGACGTCTAGGATCTCCCTTACAGCAACCTTTGTGTATGCAAGCAACCATGCGTTGGCTAGGCAAGATCTGTGGAATGAACTATTACAGCTCTCCGTGTATCCTCCATTGGTCGATCATGCTTTGGCAGTCTTAGGGGATTTTAACCAACCCCTACACCAGATGGACCGATCAGACCTTACCCTAGTACCTTCTCAGAGCCAAGGACGACAGGAATTCGCGACATGTATCGAGACGTCAGGGTTGAGAGAAATCCCGACTTCAGGCATGCAGTACACTTGGTGCAATAACCAATCGGCTAACCCTCTCTCGGTGAAATTAGATAGGGCAGTGGGTAATGATAAGTGGATGGATACCTTCCCATCGGTCTACGCAGAGTTCATGACTCCTGGGCCATCCGACCATGCCCCGTGTGTCTTGAGATTCCCGGACATCGTAGGTAAAGTACGACGACCATTTAAATTCCATTACCATCTCACCCTGGTGCCGGAGTTTATGCAGATTGTTAGACAGCAATGGAACACTCAACTATGGGGAGGAACTGACCAATACAAGCTATGTAAAGCCTTGAAAGCAATCAAAGCGCCGCTAAGACTCTTGAATACGAGACTGTTCAACAACCTATCCATAAAAGTGAAGACGGTTGGCGATCGACTGAAGCAGGTGCAGACATACATGCTTCAATCCCCTGATCCTGTGGTGATTGAGATAGAAAAAAAATTGAGGAGGGAGTGGTTAGTCCTATCACTGGCTGAAGAGCGACTATATCGACAAAAGTCCCGCGTACAATGGTTACAATTGGGAGATAGAAACACAAGTTACTTCCACAAGGTGGCGAACGCTAGAAACGCACGGAACCACATTCACATACTAGAAGACAACACGGGCAAAGGCTGGACAATGCAGAAAGTATTAAAGCTCATGCAGTGGAATTTTATTCGAAACTGATTGGTGAAGCAGATTTGGGAACTTTGCCGCCCACAGTTGATTCCATTCGACAATTGCTCAGGTACTCTTGTCCCTCTAACTTGGCTGTCGAACAAACAAGACTACCTTCTCCTGATGAAATCCATCAGGTTCTTCTAGCAATGCCAAACAATAAGGCACCGGGACCCGATGGATTTACAAAAGAATTTTTCCAGGCAACATGGGATATCACAGGAGCTGATTTGGTGAAGTCAGTCACTGATTTCTTTGCTTCAGGGATTCTTCTAGGGCAGACAAATGCAACCATCATTACCCTAATACCCAAGCGACAAGGAGCAGTCTCTTTAGCCGATTTTCGCCCGATTAGCTGCTGCAACACGGTTTACAAGATTGTATCTACCATTATAGCCAAAAGGCTCAAGCCGATTCTACAAGAACTCATTTCCCCGAATCAGACCGCGTTTCTGAAAGGTCGGCTGATGATGGAGAACGTCTTGCTAGCCACTGAACTAATTCGGGATTACAACCATAAGGGTTCTCCTCCAAGCGCCATGATAAAAATTGATATACGAAAGGCGTTTGACACTTTGTCTTGGGATTTTTTGATGCGGATACTGCAAGCTATTAATCTCCCACCGCAATTTGTAAGTTGGATCAAGATGTGCATCACAACACCTAAGTTCTCGGTCAACATTAACGGAGAATTAGCGGGCTACTTCAAAGGAAGGAGAGGTTTGAGACAAGGTGACCCACTATCACCTTATCTCTTTATCCTTTCCATGGAAATTTTTTCAAGGATGCTAGATCAAGGAGCTTCCATCGGCAGATTCAGCCCTCACCCTAAATGTCGACAACCTTCCATCACTCACCTCTCTTTTGCAGATGATGTGATGATTTTCTGCTCTGGAGATATCCAATCCCTACGTGCAGCGTTAGACATTCTTGATCAATTTAGCACAGGCTCAGGACTAGCAATGAACACGAGCAAATCCGAGATTTTTCTAGGTGGCCTACAGCAAAATCAGGCAGACAGTTTGGCTGCTACAATTGGATTAAAGTTGGGTACTTTACCGGTCAAGTACCTCGGAGTACCCCTTAATCCAACAAAGCTATCAAAGTCAGACTTCCAGCCTCTCTTGGAAAAGATCAAGAGTAAACTCACTGCTTGGAGCATTCAATACTTATCATACGCGGGACATATCCAGCTGATCTCGACAGTCATCTACGGGCTAATTAACGCATGGAGTCAGATTTTTGCCCTTCCCAAATTCTTCCTTAAAGAGGTAGATAGTCTATGCTCAAGCTTCTTGTGGAAAGGCAGTCACCAAGCTTCCGGGGGTCACAGAATCTCTTGGGTAACCATCTGTATGCCGAAAGCAGAGGGAGGGTTAGGACTACGACGCCTTGAGGACTTCAACTTGGTGTTCCGGCTAAAACTCATCTGGTTAATCTTTGCTAAAGGGGGGTCACTTTGGGTTGCTTGGATCAAGCAGAATGTCTTTAAATCCAACAACTTTTGGATATGTAAACCATCCAACAGATTATCATGGATTCTTCGGAAACTCTTGAGCTTGAAAGAAACGGTCTGCAAGTTCCTGAAAGTGAAGCTAGGCAACAGAAGAAATACTAGCTTTTGGTATGATCAATGGGCAGGCATAGGTCAGCTGATTACTCTTGCAGGAGATGAGGGGCCGAGGCTCTTAGGTATTCCGAAGAATGCAACTGTAGCTGAGGCAGCGCCGACAGGCATGTGGACATTTACAGGGGCTCGAACCGAGGTGATTCAGGAGCTCCAAATCGCACTCACTGCCATCGGACCCCCACTCGAGTCTGTAGGTGCAGATACGGTTATGTGGAAGCATGACAATGACAAATATGAGCTTTGTTTCTCGTCGAGTAAAACCTGGAAACAGATTCGAATCTCAGGAGCCAAGCCGAACTGGTTGGACAATGTTTGGCTGCCCGTAACAACGCCAAGAATTTCCCTCCTCCACTGGCAAGTCATGCAAGGTCGACTTCCCACAAAGGATCGTCTATTGCGATGGGGAATTAATGTGGACGCCAACTGCTATCTCTGCGGTATGTCAGACGAAACTCATGCTCACCTATTTTATGATTGTCCATATAGCCTGGCTCTGTGGAAGTATTATGCAGAATGTTGTTGGGCTTCTCCCCCGAGCGATTTATCACAACTCCCAGAATGGCGCACAAGAATTTGTGGAAACAACTGCAGAAACAGGGAACTTATATAAAAAATTATCAGCCATATTGCGGTGGATATAATATGGCAGGAGCGGAACAATCGGATTTTCTGAGGTAAGACAAGAACCATAGCTGATGCACGGACAAAGCTAGACCGTAGGATGAGGACTATGCTGCTTTCTGACCAGCTGAACAAGAACTCTTCACAAAAACATCTACTCGAGGATTGGTATTTCTTGACCGCAGGCCGACGTTAGATCACGTGCTCTATTATTTTGAAATCTATTTTGCCCACTTGCGTATGGGAATCCTAATATTTTGTACAGTTTTCTTTCTGTTGGTTAACAGATATAAGAACGTTTCTCTCGGATTTTAATACACAATCACATTAAAAAAAAAAAATATATGACCAGGTTTGCTGCATCTCCTACACTTAAAATCTGGCCTTTTCCAACATTTCGAGTGAGGATGGTTTGTTCTCTTGCAATGCTTACATGGCTCAAATACACTCTTGTTTTCTCCTGCATCAAAATTATGATTCGGTCCCTTACCCTTTTGAGCATCCCAATTCTTTACACTTGCCTTCAACGCCCCTTCAACAGATGCATCGCTCCTCATGATCTTTCTTTGTTCTTGTGCTTGCAAAGCACTTTGAACGTCAGCAAGTTTCAAGTCTCAAAGTTTCTTCGTATTTTCCGGAGATGCGATAGTTGCTTCAAAACGTTCTGGTATTGAAACCAATACCTTCTGCACTATTCTTTTGTCTTCAATGTCTTCGCCAAGTATCCTTATTTTGTTCACAATGCTTACCAACCGATTTATGTAATCCTTGACAGATTCATTTGTCTTCATTTGTTGTCTTTCAAACTCCTTGAACAAATTGAGAACTTTCATTCCCCTGATTTTCTCATCTCCCTCATACTCCTTCATGAAATCCCACACTTCTTTTGTCGTTTCAAACGACATTATCTTCGTGAACACCGATTGAGAAACTGTAGAGAAAAGATATGACATAGCCTTTGCTTTTCTCGTTACCTTCTCTTTGTGGATCCTTATTTGATTCACTGTTTGATTTGCACCGAGAGGAGGAACCTCGTCATCCTCTTCAACGGCTTCCCATAAGTCTGCTCCTTTCATGAAAAACTTCATCTTAACAGCCCATATCTGATAATTTTTCCCACCAAACATTGGAGCAGCCATATTTGATAATGCCGAAGAACTTGATCCATTGCTTTGCTCCATTTGCTCACAGATTTCGATTTTTCCTCACAGATCCCACCAAGATCAAACAAACGCTCCGATACCACTATTAGATTTTTATTTTGATTTTTGACCCAGACAAACACTTTTAATCACTCAAACACATTTGATCAAACACACACTTTTCAACAGAGAAGAAAAGACAGTTCTGCATTGAGACAGAACATGAAGACATTTTCTGAAACTGACGCATATTTGATTCTGAAAACTTACAACTTAAATAAAAGATCTGCAACATACATAATAACACAACACGTAGAATAACTTCCTAGTAGTTACTAAAGAAAACTGAAACAAAGTGGCAAACATAAAAAACTGAAATACAACTAAAATATTTGACCAAATCTTAAAACAAACTTTCGACACATGATTTTTTGCAACTCCAGCATAGGTCTTGAGTCATTATTTCAACATTATCAATGTTGCTTGCTATGTGTATTATAAGCTATAGAAAAGGTTCTTGTGCGCATTCTATTGATTTTTTGTCTTTCTACTGATTTGAAATTTTCATCGTCTGGATGTAGAATTGTATTCAAGGCTATGGGGTTGAGATATGAACAAGACTGCCAATATTGTGGAGCTCATTAAGGTGCTAGTTTTCTCTTTGGGAAAATCCCAAAACAATTACTGAACTTGTAGATAGCTGACAGAAAAATACTGAACTTTTTCTATTTCCAAATAAAACATGAACTTGTAGATCTTAACACATTTAATACTGATCTTTTGAATTTTTGCCAAATATCTGATCGATCGTAAACGGCGTTAGAGTCAATAACGGAACGCGTGACGTGGAGCCTAATTATTGCCACGTATGATGACACGTAAGATGACACGTCGGATCGAACCGGTACAAAATAAAATTCGGCCGGTTAACATAAACCGGATCGATCCGGTTAATAAAATACATAAAATCGACCGGTTAACATAAATTCGACCGGTTAGTATAGATTTTAATTTTAGGGTTTCAGTTTCAACCCCAAAAACTCTCGAACGATTCTCTCTCCCTCTCACCTCTCTCTCTCTCTCTCTCTGTTCGAAGGATCTCCGTCGACGTTCCTGTGTCGAAGCTCCTCCGTCAATCGTGGCGGCGGCGTGAAGACGACGACTTCTACTGCCGTCGACGAGTGGAAAGAAACCGAGGTGAGAATTTCTAAACTCTCTGTTCCCTTTTGCTCTCTTTGTTTTTGATTTTGATTTTGGTTTGATTTTAGTTTTGGTGTGTCAAAGTTGATATCGGTTAAAAATCGATGAAGAATAAGTTGAGTAATTTTTGTTATAGATGAGTCACATGTCAGAGGGTGGTAGAAGTAGTTCTCGTTCAAATGCAAGGTCAAGTTGGAGATCGGGTCATGAGTCAAATCAGATCAAAGGTGTACCTCGACATTGTCAATGTGGAAGCGATATTGTAATGTGGATATCAAGAACAGACAACAACCCGGGAAGAGTTTTTTTGCGTTGTGCTAAACAACAGGTTAGAATTATATTTTGAAACAAGTTATTGTAGTGTGTAGTTTTGATGTATGATGTTGTTTGTGTATGGTAGGGCAACTATGAGCATGTGTTCAAATGGGTTGATGAGGCCATGGTGGAAGAAACGGAGATCTTACGTGAACACATTGAAAAACTGGAGTTGGAGAATGAAAATCAGAAAAAAGAGTTGAAAATGTACAAAATAGAGCTGCAAAACAACAAGATGGAGCTACAAAACAACAACATCGAACTCAAAAAATACATAACTTCTGCTGAAGCGTATAAAGATGTTGTGAACAAAGTGGTTGTAGTTTTTGTTTTAGTTTGTGTTGTTAGCTACTACCATATGTTATTGAAGTAGTAGTTGTTGTAGTTATTAGTTTGTGTTGTAGAAGAAAATTGAAGAATATGTGATGTGTTGTTTTGAAGAGAACGGATGTTATGAATATGTAATATTTTGTTTTGAAAAAAACTGATGAAAATGTGTTTGTCCATGTAACACATTTGTTCCTGTTTTGATGATATATAAACTTTGGATGAGATGTGTTTGTCCATGTTATATAAACTTTGGATGATATATAAACTTTCAATGTGTTTGTCCATGTTATTGTGACATATATAACAGATAAATAACTAGAAAACTAGCTTAATTAAGATTGAACAACAATTGTCCACAGAGAACATGAAGTCTGGATTTAGGATTAGCCAAAATACATGAAGTCTGCCTAACCAAAACACATACCAACATAAACCTGCTAAAGTATGCTCGACCATAACAAAAAAATAACAAACATAACGATGACCACCAAAACGGTTCGAGCAAATCACAGGATAGCAAAAAAAAAAAGCAGACATGACTATGTTGGTGTGTTGGGTCTTGATTACTTCCATGGGACTTGGAACGATGTGTTGGTAAGTGTTGTTCTCGGGCCGAATTGCGGTGTACGCGTATTGCCCAGTATACGACGGTGTGTAGGCGGCCTCTGTTGTTGTGTCTGCACAGTCTGACTTCTTTGAGTTGGTTGAGTTGGGTCTAGGGTACCTGTAACATACATCAATTTCAGTATATGTAAGCGCTGAGAACATAAAACTATTAAATGATGTAAGGGTACCTGAATTTTGTGATGTATTATTTGTCTGCGTTTCCTGAACCTGAACTCTTTCATTCTGAACTTGATTCCTTGGATTCTGAGCTTGAACATCTTTTCTTGGTCGGCCCCTCTTCCTCTTTGGTCCATACACAAGAACGGGTTCATTCTTACAACCGGCAGCATTATGTCCAACTTGCCTACATCTACCGCATGTCATTTGTCGACCATGGCGTGTCATGTGTCCAGCCTTTTTTGGACTTTCATGAGGATCTTTTCGTCGGTGGAACTTTGTCGGGCGGCCTGGCATTCTTCTAAAATTAGGTACACCGATTGGATCTTTGCCCAATTTTTCCCACATTGGTTCTCCATTAACCGGATCAATATTACGTGTATATGTCTCCTCCCATGTTGATTTGGAATAATATTCAGCCACATATCTATATCAAAACAACAACAAATTGTGTTAGTATGTGTAACATATTATATAGATAAGTGAATGAGTTATGAATGTTACCTTGGAAGATCATATCTCATCTCATTGATCACTGTAATGGCATGCTGACACGGTACACCCGTCAAGTCCCATCTACGACATGCGCAACTCTTGGCATACAGGTCAACAGAAAAACTAACCCCGAATTCCATTACCTCGTATTTGCCTCGACCACTAGGTATCATCATGCAATGCCTTGACTTTCCCCGAGCCTCTTCCAACTCCGCCATTATTTTTGGAGTGAACTCTGTAACACACTTGGTTGCCTGAACCGATCTCTTTGCAATCCGTAACATTGTTTGTCTACGGATTTCTTCAAGCATGTCAATCATTGGTCTCAGCCTTGCCTCTTTGATAGTTCGGTTGAAACTCTCCGATAAGTTGTTATGCACATCCTTACAATGTGAATCTACCTTGAAAAAAGCTCTACACCATTGTGTTGGCTCAGTTCGGAGCAACGCTTCATATGCATCAGGATCTTTAGAAGCCAATGTACCCATGTGTTCCGCATACATTCCTTGATGGAAACTTGTTGCAATTCTCCAAAATAGGCACTTCAGTTCTAGACTCTTGAATGACTTCTTCCAGTTATCATATATATGTCGAGCACACATTCGATGCTCCGCACGTGGTAATTCATGATGAATTGCATTCAACAAATCCTGTACAAACACATAACTTTGATCAAAAGACAAATTAAGTCAAGTGTCTATTGTATCTAAGATAAGGATTGATAACTTGTACCTTCTGTTTGTCAGACAATATGGTGATGTTTTGGCCATCTCCCAAGGATAAATCAGCTTTTAGTTTCTGAACAAACCAAGTCCAGCTGTCTATTGTCTCCATATGTACAACAGCCCATGCAATAGGAAAAATACGATTATCGGCATCCCGACCAACCGCTGCAAGTAGTTCTCCTTTTAGCTCCCACTTTAGAAAACATCCATCAAGTCCAATGACTGGTCGACAAGATTTCTTCCACGAATTGCGTAGCACTTCAAAGCATATGTAGAATTTGTTAAATAACCCATTATCAATGACAATTTCAGTGGTTGTGTTAGGGTTAGACCTTCGGAGCTCATGCTCGTAATCCCACAGCTTTGCAAATTGCACCACCTGATCTTGCATTACCATATCCAATGCAATGCGCCTTGCCTTGAAACATTTACTGATCGGGACTGTCAGCTGATACTCTGTCTTCATATCATGTTGAATGTCAGCGGCCTTATAAGATGGGTTCCGTCTAAGAACATCACAAAATAACTCAGCAATATGCCTCATCGAAACCATATCTGCACGATCTTTTGCAATGTGGCTGTGATGTGGATGAAACACTTTTACCATCCATTTGCTCATGGAGCTTTCCAATGAAGCATAAATTCTCCAAGGACATTCTTCTGTCCTACATACAGCTCCTGATCTGGTTTCACCCCAACATGACATCTTAATATTGTGTTGAGTTGTCAACACATACCTCAATATCTCTTTTTTAAACTCCTTTCCAGAATTGAAAGTCTGACCCAAGAAAAAAAACTCTTTATCTCGGGGCATTGTTTGTCTTGTTGACTTCTTTTGTCGCATCCCTCTCTCATAATCCTTCCATTCTTCCTCGGTATTTTGCGGAGTAGGGGGAAAGATGTCATCATTGTCTACAAAATCATTATCACTCTCATATTCATTCTCAACCGCTGCAGCTTGACCTTCCTTTCCAGACTTAAACTGAGCTTGGAACCTGTTATCTCCCTCACCCTGATTTCCCTCGGGCTTATCACTAGTGTTGTCCTCCACCCCATTACTTGTTTGCTGCTCAGTTTGCTCACACTCATCATGAGCATTGTCATCCGCCCCCTTACTTGTCTGCCCCTCATTTCTCTCACACTCATCATGAGCATTGTCATCCGCCCCCTTACTTGTCTGCCCCTCATTTCTCTCACACTCATCCTCACCATTCCTATCAACCCCCTTACTTGTCTGACCCTCACTTCTAACCCCGGGTGTTGCTATACACAGCTCATGATCTATAAAAACATCTACTTCTCCATACTCATCTGCAAGTTCACACATGCCCCGAATTTCCCAATCTACATCCTCTTTAATTGGTTTCTTCTCATCCAATGTCTGATGTGGTAATTTATACCACATTTCATAAATTGGTGCACTGATTTTGTTCTCCTTAACAAAATCTTCAAACACAAACCAACAAAGATAATCAGAGTCTATTTCTATACCTTCCATAACAATGCCATCCAAATATACCCATTCTCCATTCATATGTAGCATGGATCCTCCCATATGTATGTTCAACTTAACTATCCTGCAACAAATTGTTAATCTTCAAAAAACCCTAACAAATAACATCCTAAAGACAAAGCTTCTCGATGTGAATAAAAGATTTACCCCATTAAGCCGAACACTTTTCAATCTGTCTAACCTGAAAAACAAACAAATACATTGAGTCATTTTGGGGTTAAACTGTTTCGGATTTGTCGAATTCGAAGTATTTTAGGGTTTCAGAATTTGGGGTTTTTCGAAATACAAGTGTTTTTCGGTTTCAGGATGTGAAATCTTGATGAATAGAGTTTATCTGGACATCGACAACGATTTCGGGTTTGAAATCAAAATCAAAAACAAAGAGAGCAAAAGGGAACAGAGAGTTTAGAAATTCTCACCACGGTTTCTTTCCACTCGTCGACGACAGTAGAAGTCGTCGTCTTCACGCCGCCGCCACGATTGACGGAGGAGCTTCGACACAGGAACGTCGACGGAGATCCTTCGAACAGAGAGAGACAGCGAGAGAGAGAGAGGTGAGAGGGAGAGAGAATCGTTCGACAGTTTTTGGGGTTGAAACTGAAACCCTAAAATTAAAATCTATACTAAACCGGTCGAATTTATGTTAACCGGTCGATTTTATGTATTTTATTAACCGGATCGATCCGGTTTATGTTAACCGGCCGAATTTTATTTTGTAATTTTTAAATCCGACGTGTCATCTTACGTGTCATCATACGTGGCAATAATTAGGCTCCACGTCACGCGTTCCGTTATTGACTTTAACGCCGTTTACGATCGATCGGATATTTGGCAAAAATTCAAAAGATCAGTATTAAATGTGTTAAGATCTACAAGTTCATGTTTTATTTGGAAATAGAAAAAGTTCAGTATTTTTCTGTCAGCTATCTACAAGTTCAGTAATTGTTTTGGGATTTTCCCTTTCTCTTTTCAGTATGATTTGTGAGTGTAATCGTGTTGGGTATTGACGGAGGTTCTAAGGGTCAACTCCTCATGAATGACGCAAAGAAAAATCTCTGGTCTTCATCAGATCACTTCAATTGGCTCCACAGACATCAGTGACACACGGGAGCATTTGGAAGATACACTTTTGCTGTAAGGAACCCTATACTTTATTTTAACAGGGATTGCTTTTTGACCTTTTTACTTGAATGTTTATTATACCATATAATTCTTACAGTAAGCTTTGTCGTTTGGTCATAGGTTGAAGACTACAAGGCATGCGTCCATGCACTACAAAAAAATCAGCAATTTCCAACGAATTTTCCAACGGATTTATCCGTTGGAAAATTTTCAACGGATTTTCAACGGTTTTCAACGGCATTTCAACGGTGATTTCCGTTAAAAATCCGTTGAAAATTTCCAACGGATATCCGTTGGAATCGCCCGTTGGAAATTTTTAACGGAATTTTCAACGTATTCAATTGAAAAAATTAGGGTTGAAATTTTCCAACGGTATTTCCAACGGATATCCGTTGGAATTTTTTTTGGAAATTTTAAAAAAAAATTCCAACGGGAATTCCATGTCAGTTGAAATTTTTTTTGGAAATTTTTAAAAAAAATTCCAACGGAATTCCAACGGATGTCGGTTGGAAATTTTTTTGGAAATTTTAAAAAAAAAATTCAACGGAATTCCAACGGATGTCGGTTG